GGGGTTTCATTCTGGGAGCCAGTCTGAGAAGGTGATGGCTGCTGCATGGTCCTGTGCAGTCACTGCATTGCCTGTCTGGCTTGGTTATTTTTTTTTAATTGCCTTCATACGTTAATTTCTGTGTGGACCATTAAAGTTCATTCTTAAAAACCTCAGAGAAGGGTTAGGGTTCATAACTGAGCACCAGACTTTGCCCATGTAACCCATCATGTTTTGCATGAGTTTCCTTGTCCGTGCTGGTTAATCAGACAGGGTACATCAGTAATCTCAGGCTTGGGTCACTTCTAAAACTCTCTGGCTTTAAGTTGTGAGGTTTGTGGGGGAAGAAGAATTTTCAGTAAACTGTTTCGGGGCTTAAGGTTGCACAGAGGGCTGGAGCCCCTCTGCTGGGAGGGGGGGCTGAGAGAATTGGGGGGGGTTCAGTCTGGAGAAGAGAAGGCTCCGGGGAGACCTCAGAGCCCCTTCCAGTCCCTCAAGGGGCTCCAGGAGAGATGGGGAGGGACTCTGGATCAGGGAGGGGAGCCACAGGAGGAGGGGGAAGGGTTTGACCCTGCAAGAGGGGAGATGGAGCTGAGCTGTGGGGAAGAACTTGTTTGGTGTGAGGGTGGTGAGAGCCTGGCCCAGGTTGGCCAGAGAAGCTGTGGCTGCCCCATCCCTGGAGGGGTTGAAGGGCAGGTTGGAGGGGGCTTGGAGCACCCTGGTGTGGTGGGAGGTGTCCCTGCCCAGGGCAAGGGGTGGCACTGGGGTGGCTTTAAGGTCCCTTCCAACCCAAACCATTCTACAACGCTATGACTGGCACCTAAATTTTAAGTCCGTAAGCACTTGCTTATATCTGTATTCATTAGGTCTGCATTCATTAGGGTTTCATGCTTTGGGGCATCTTGTTTAGCATCAGTGTTTGCAGGGGGCTGGCAAGCTCACTCCCTGTGCACAAAGCCAGCCAGTCAGCACGGCCACCCCACCGGTTTGTGTCCCGCGGCGTAATTTCGGGATTCAGTAAAGCTGAGCAAAGTCAGCATTGCTGCTAAAATGGGATATTCTTATCAGTGGGCTCCTGCTGGCGCTGGTGGTGCTGCTGGTTGGCCTGTGTCGGGGAGCAGATCTCACCAGAAGCCAGCTGGTGACTGAGAAAAGGAGTTTCCAACCAGCAAGCTCCTCGATTTTCTTTCTTTTCTTGTTTTCTTTTTTTTTTTTTCCCATAACATTTGCAAGTCTTGACAGAATGTGGTGTCAGCCCAGAAGGACACTTCCATCCTCCCATCAGGAACAGGCTGCGCCTGGTGCCATGAAATTATACAGACAGGTGGCTTTTGTTAATTTTTGGCCGTATTGCGTATTTCCCCTGGCAGATCAATTTCCCATCTTAGCTGAAGAAGCCAGGGTGGTTTTGGGGGGACTCAGAAGTTTTTTGGAGGTAGTTTGTTTGTGCCTGGATCTCTCTTTGTCTTGAAGACATGTGCTGGGGGAGGCAGTTGGCTTGGGTTGAGGGTGTCAGAGCAGAAGAGGGTGCTTGTCCCTGTGTCCTGAGGACACCCGTCTGTCCCCACCGCTGGCAGCAGCTTGGGAGATGCTCTGTGGGGAGGTTTGGCTGGAGCCTGGCCAGTGCTCCTGGTGCTGGGATGGGGGTCTGGGCAAAGAACACGTTGTCCATGACAGTGGGAAGTGATGGGGGCCTGAGTGTTGTCCTAACGAGCAAAGCCATCGTTACCAAGACCTTTGGAGCAGGCAGGTTTCCTGTGTTAACTGTGTAATTACAGCAGGTACCTGGAGCTCAAGGAGGTGTAAAAACAGTGTCAGTGAGTAGTGTCTTCAGAAACCAAGCCAATGCCAACCCCTAGCGATGGGGACAGCAGTGCAGGGTTTGGCAGGGGCAAAGCACACCACATTTTGGTGGTACTTTGGGCTAAAGAGGGGTCATTCTTCCTTTCCATGCCAGTGAATACCCTTGTACGACTCTTGGCATCTTCTCGGGCTCCCCGTGGTGTCCCGTGTCCTTGTTGAGCACCATCACACAGCTGAGAGGGAGCCCTGGCCGGGGTCTGCATCGTGGCATGGACACAAGGAGCGTGTCCGGCTTCTCTGTCGGCAGCAAAATAACTTATTTCGGCAGCAAAATAGCTCCGGATCATGGAGGTTGATCATTTTGCTTACGTTCCACTTTGTTTTCTTTCTCTCACAGGGTCGTGTTTCTTCTCAACCGTCAATTCAGTTTCAAGGGTCCCAAGGGGTGAGTATTTTGTGCTATTTGTTATATTGAAAAATAAATGCGGTGTAGATCAACCACTTCCATTTATTATTATTTTTTTAAATAAACCTACAGACGTTCTTAAGATCTGCTTAATGCCAGGTATGTTATCATGCTTTAGGTACACTTTCTTTTTTTCCTGCTTTTGTCACCTTTTAGCCTAAATTTAAAATCAGCTGGAATAACTAGTGAGCAGTGCAAATTCAGTATTTTAAAATGGACTTCAGGTGGTTGGCTTCAAGGTGTGAAGCAGAACTGCAGTTTTGAGGAGTGGGCATTTTGTATACCACAGACTGCTGGTGGTTCTTGACCCTCTTCTGAAACTCCAATAAAACAGAGTGTTTCAAGCCTGTTGAAGGAAAGTAGGAGGAAACGTGGCCTCCTGAAGACCACAGGTCCTGTTAAACAATCAATCAGTGGTGCAAATTGGAGAACTAAAGTACTCCAGTACTGATAGGACCTCCAAGTAGAATGATTAAAGAACTTGGGTGTAAAATTTTAAGGGATGGGTAAAGACTCTTTTTTGGTAAAGACTGAAGCATGAACTGTGCCTTTTATGCTGCTAGCCTTAATTCAGATCCATTAGCTGATCTGGCTGTCCAGGTAGCTGGGCAGGGATGGGAGAAGGATGGGTGAGGTCTTTATGGTGGGGTGAGGAGCTGTGAGACCACAGCCCTGGCTGGAGGGTACTCGGGTGCTGGGGGAATCACCTCTGTAACTTGTGCAGGCAAAAGTCTCTTAACACTGCAGTTGCAAGAAAATCCTTTATGGCTTACTTGCAATTTAGACTCTACTGGCAAATATTTAAGCTATACCGGCCAAAGAATTTCCTTGCTGCAATGAATAACCACCTTAACTAAGAGTTGGCCAGAACAGCTGCACCAGGAGAGAGCGGCCGGGAGCACAGATGGGTTTGAGTCCGTGCTGCCATCAAGAGGGAAGTTGTACTTGCTAATGTGGCTGGGAATTAATCCAGAAAAACAAACTGGCTGGCCCCACCGACGGGCTCCCCGAGCCGCCGGCTGTGGCGGCCGGCACGCCAGCCCTGCGAGGGATGGAGCTGAGTTCAAATTAAGCTCTCTGACTATAAATAATTAACCTAGCGTGAAGTTCTGCAAGGAGTACACTGCGAAAGAAAAACTACCAGTGTGCTTTTTCTACCCTGCACCCTCTCTTCCTCTGCAGAAGTCCACGTGCTGCTCTCTCCCATGGTCTCTGGTAGCGTCTTTCAAGCAGTGGTGTGTGAGGTTTGAGAGGTTACCAGGCTGGGGGAGACTTTCTCAGCTGTAAAAAAATCTGTGGGGTTTGTCAAAAGCTGTCAAAACCTGGGGGTCACCAGAGGGCTGAAGAATCACGTGTTAACTTTCAGTGGTGTCACCCTTGTTTGTGTTAAAAAGTTGATCCAGGTATCTGCTTTTTCATTGTGAAACTCAATAGTAAGGTCTGCTCCCAAGTTCCCTGAGATGGGGTTGTCTTTGCTGCTTGCAGTCTCTTACAATACTCTTCCAATCTGTCCATAATTAGGGAAATGCAAAATAAGGAGTTTATTGCAGGAGACTGCTAGATCTCTGCAATAGGGAGAGAAATTTAAGGTCATTGGGGCAGATGGTAAGTTAAAACAGGACATTTAATGCTGTACATACAGCGGGAAGGAAATGGAGAGCTCCTTATTTCTGTATATTGTGTAGCCATATTTTGAGTATTTCCAGAGCACACAAATTGCACCTCAGGGCAAGGAGCACCTGGGGTGCATTCTTTGGTGCCAAGGTGTTGCAGGTCACCCACGACAGCGAGACATTTCCTTCAATGCTGCTGAAAAATGAACAGTGATTTTTATTTGTCTCTTGAGAGTATTTCCTCTGCAATTCGGGTAATTATCTGCCTCCCAGCTGAGTGGCTGCCCCATCCCTGGAGGGGTTCAAGGGCAGGTTGGAGGGGCCTTAGAGCAACCTGATCTGGTTGGAGGAGTCCCTGCCCAGGGCCGGGGCTGCCGCTGGGGGGGGGTTGAAGGTCTCTTCCCACCCAAACAATTGTATGATTCTATACTAGCATTAAAAAAAAAAAAGCTTTTTTTTTTTAATATATTGTCTCTAACTACACACATTGTAGTCCCAGTCTCTTATGGATGGTAGGAAGGGGGCTGGAGAAATTAAAGGAGTTTTCTGGTCTGGAGTGGTCTAGAGTTGTGTTAAATATGGGAATTGAGAAAAGGAGCCTAATGCTGGAGGAGGCAAGGGAGGAGCTTTTATTTCGTGTATGCGTTTCACAAGAAGCTAAGGTTGGTGTCAAAGAGTTTCTGCAGTCACTTTGTGGGGGAGAACAAAAAAAGAGCAAGTTTGATTTTTTTCTGTTGTACAGTAGAGTTGCTCTGAAGGGATCCAAAAGTGTTGAAAGTGGATGGATCGTCTCGGAAGGCACAGGGGCAAATCCATTAATGCAGTCAGGTGGTCTGCAATTGGGATGATGGTAAATTATCTGTGTGTGCTGCCTCTCCAGTACAGGAATCCCTGAAAGGGCACTGGGACAGTCTGCACAAAACTCGGCTAAGAACTCTGTGATTTGTGAGTTTAATAAAATACCTGTGATTGTGTGACAACAAACTTCTGCACCAGAGCACGAGTCAGCTGAAAACTCGGCTAAGAACTCTATGATTTGTGAGTTTAATGAAATACCTGTGATTGTGTGACAACAAACTTCTGCACCAGAGCACGAGTCAGCTGCTGGGCTGGGAAGGAGAATGCTTCCTGCCGGGACATCCTGCTCCCAAACTGTCTGGACAGTAATGTCTGCTGGTGTCCAAGATACCTGGAAGGTACCAGGGGACTGCAAGAAATGCATCATAGAGATTAATTTTTAAGAAACACCTTGTAATTAAACATTTTTGGAGTACATCTAGGCAGCCTGGAGAATCTATCTATCTCTGCTGTGCTAGATACAATGGCCCTGAGGAATGTGAATATTGGTAGTTAACTTGAAACACAGTAGGGATGTGTTTTAAAATAACAAAAATAGAGTCTTCTTATAGTCCAGCATACTTGGGCAGTGATAGCGCTTCAGACAGCCCTGCTTCCCCTGCTGTGGCTTCCCTCTGGTGTTTGCATCTTTCTTTGCCGTGTCCCACAACTTGCAAATACCTTTCTTACAGAGAGACAAAATTTGCTGTTTGGGGGAATTCAGCAGCTCGGGCTCAAAGGAGTGAACTGGTGCATGAGGGTGAACTGCATGGATGTGGGGGGACAGGCACGAAGCTCTTTATGAAAAAGGCCAGAGGAAAAAAAAAAGGAAGGGGAAGGGGAGAAGACTGAAACTAAAAAGAAAGTCCTTCTCCCTTCAGGGTACCCATTTGTCTACAGGTCAAGGTAGTCAGTAAAATGTATGCATTTGAAATGGCTTTTATGTAGTAACATATTTAATTTTTTTTTTGCCAGGCATCCATGTGTAGTCACATTATTTCTGTAGAAAAGCATCTTAATTTTCCTTTTTGAAAGGGACATGGCCAGCTTAGCTTTCGCAGTGTAAAGAAGGAGGAGGGGGAGGTTTGGTACTTGAAGGAAGCAACATTTTGCAAAAAGACTCCTGGTATTAAAGCGAAAACGGAAGAAATCGGTGCTGAGATTTTGCTCATGTTTCAGAGTAGTTTGTTGAAGTTTCAGATTGGTTCAGGAGACTTCTGGAGCACTTTTGTCTCCTCAAAGGTGCAGGCTGGATGAAGGAGCAAAGTTTTAAGCTTGGGAGCCAGCTTGCTGAGGTAGAAGCCACTGTGCCAACGATCCAAATGATGCTGGGCCAAAAATTGTCACTTTTGGGATTTGTAAAAGTGAAAGTTCCATGAAACACAGCAGGAAGTCCCTGCTGAGCAGAGCGGTGCCCTTCCCCAGTAGCAGGGGTTCACCTCGTGGCAAACAGAGCATTGCTGTAAAGGAACCATGAGTAAACTTCAGCCCAGAAAACAGGTTGATTGGAAACATTTCTCAAAAAAAAAAAAAAAAAGTAGGAACCTAACTTTGAGGGCCTGGCAACTGTGAGTTCTTAAATCCTTTGATCTGGTCATAGAGGTTTATGGCGTGAGCTGGGTGCTGGCATGGATGCCCACCTGCAGCTTCCAGCTCAGGCTTGTGAGCTACCAAATCTTATCTTTGGAAGTGAGTAGCCCTTTTGGGGTAAGGTTGGAACGATTCTGAGAAGAGACAAAGGAGGGAGAGGACTTGAAGCACATCTGCTGACCGGAGGTGACCTGAAAATATGGTTCTCTTGTCAGCCTGATGAGATGACGGCGTGGTGTGGAAGAACAAGAGGAGGGAGTGGGTAGGTGTCTTCAGAACAGGAGGAGGTTAAGTGACTCAGCGGGAATGATGCAAAAGAGGAAGGCAGAAGTGACAAAAATCTACGAGCCGGAGGAAGTGGAGTGAGTCTGCATAGGAGCTTCAAGGGACAATTATGAACACTGCTCTCATGTTAGAGAGCCAACGAGGATGACATGTCAGAGCGAGAGAGGGTAATGATAGATCCGGAATTCAAGTACCCAGAGGAAGGGATTAAAGTCAAGGGTCTGAGTTGTTCTAGTGGATATTCTCTATTGCTAAATTAATTAGACGGCAAGAAATTGCAAGGCGGGCTTGAGGATGTAGAGTTTAAAATTACATTATGAGTGGGCTGCAGAGGGTCAAGGGCACTCAAAACTCCTCCTGAAGTGCTCCAGCCTGGCCAGTGGTGACACTGGGGATGGGTCACACACAGCACAACACTCCATGTGCACACATGAGGGTCTGCAGCCCTGTGGTTTGCCAGGAAACCCCCTCCAGCAGAGGGGTGGAGGGCAGGAGGCAGGAACAGGGTACCCCTGTGTCCCACAAAACACGCTTCCCTTGGTGCCCTCATCTGCCTGGACTTCCCCAGGTCACACAGCCGCTTGACTGGCACTGGATGAAGTTTGTCCAAGTTTAGGTCTTGACTTCTCGTTTTTTTTTTGTCATTTAAACATCTAAGTTTAATTTTGTTTGAGAAGTCTTACAAGTGATCTCTGCATATTTTTGCTTCTAAACAGCTTGCGGTAAGAAAACTTCACTGTTTTATCCCAAAGTCTCAAATTCCAAAAGCATAAAAATTTTAAAACTTAATCTCTACAGAATGTCTGTTCTCCCACTTCTGTTCTCTGCATCCTGTGCTAAAACTTTCTATTTTTTTTTTATTTTTTATTTGGTAAATTTAAGATGACACTCTACCAACTCATCCCTTCCTTCCTGGGATTTCCTTAGCAGATCCAGTCTGGGATCCTCACGAGTTTCCCTGTGCACAGATGTGTAGGTTTGGTGTCCTCATGCTGCTGTGCTCACCCATGCTCCTCCCTGCCCTTGGGTGCCAAATCCAGCTGCAGCCAAGCAGATGTTTTAAGCAATTTGTGTTGTAGCTGGTGATGCTCTGGGAAAGGAGGACCCTTCTGTCAATGCCGTGATTGCGGGTTTGCTGCAGTGGGGTTGTTCCTGAAGATGGCAAGGAAGAAAAACTTTTACTTTTTAAATATTTCTTCTGTATTTTTCTGCAAGGGTTGCTCCCTGCATCAAGTGCCCTGGCTGGCTGCTGGTGGCAACCACCCCTTAGGTTGGCCTCACTGTCTTTAAGAGCACTCCTTCTGGTATCAAACTGACACTTGGTGTTGTTAAAGTCTCTCCTAATGTTTGTGCCCTAAAAAGTCACATCAGTGCTGGAGGTTCAGGCACTTAGAAGCAGGAGGTCCCTTATCCCCTCAGACCCTGCATAACTTTGGTGGAAAATCTGCCAGTGAGGGAAGACTCTGGGGGTTGATGAATTTGTCTGTGAATTGTATGCGAACATGAATTAAATTGTTCTCTTTATGTGAGCTTGGAGCAGAGGCAGAAAGTGAATTCCCTGCAGCTGCCATCAATTCATAATTATCTGCTCAACTTCTCCTGCCTTTTCAGCTTGGATCTGTAAAATAGGCCTCCTGCATCTCTATTAACCTAGAGAGATGAATTTGACACTAATGGTAGGACTTCCTGCACACTTCTGTTAAAATAATGCAAATTCTGTAGGCGAAACAAGCAATTACTCCATTTTCAGAACAGGAAAATGTCTCTTCTTGCAATGGCTTCTGGCACCACCGTTTTCACGCATCACCTTGCAGAAAGTGCATTAATCAGTGGATTCACTAAAGACGGGGTGGGTTCAACGTTTTTCTTCTTTAAACAGGGAAGGAGGAGGGTGATGGTGGAGATGGTAAAGGGGTGTGAGCAGGCAGAAATACAGAAGGGAAGGGTTTGAAACAAACAGCTGGTCACTACAGAGCAGCAAATGTGGCCAAACCCGGTGGTGAAAACTGTGGGGTGTTGACCTGCCCATGCCTCAGGTCCATCTTAGCTTGGATTTTTTCCCCTTCAGTGCCCGCGTTCTCCAGGTTCTGTCTCCTGGCCGTGCAGGAGAAGGCACCGATAGCATCGCAGGGATGCTGAGACATTTTTAGCTGTGAGCAGGTGTTGTTTACCATTTGGTAAATCCCTGTCCATCACAACTTACCTGTTTTGGGTTGTCTTATGAAACAGAGCGGCGATAGCCTTCGCGTGTTTACCCGCCGAGGGATTAGTGAGGAGGTAGCAGCTAAGGCAGGAATTAAGACCCCAGCGGGGTGTTAGGTGAAACTGGGTCGCTTGGCTGACAGCAGCAGGGCTGTGGTGGTGGGATGTTTGGGGAGATAGCACAGCTGCCTGCATGTACCCTTTTTTTGGTGGTGGAGGAGAGAGTCTTCTGTGTGATGGGCTTCCCACATAAAAGGGGAAGGAAGCATGTGCAAGGATAAACGTGTTTGGGCACCTGAGGAGAAAAAAGATGTTCTACCTTCCTATGCTAGTGCATGTTCTGGGAAGTATATGGTGTCATAGAATGGTTTGGGTTGGAAGGGACCTTAAAGCCACCCCAGTGCCACCCCCTGCCCTGGGCAGGGACACCTCCGCCCAAGCCCCCTCCAACCTGCCCTTGAACCCCTCCAGGGATGGGGCAGCCACAGCTTCTCTGGCCAACCTGGGCCAGGCTCTCACCACCCTCACACCAAACAAGTTCTTCCCCACAGCTCAGCTCCATCTCCCCTCTTGCAGGGTCAAACCCTTCCCCCTCCTCCTAGGGCTCCCCTTCCTCATCCAGAGTCCCTCCCCATCTCTCCTGGAGCCCCTTGAGGGACTGGAAGGGGCTTTGAGGTCTCCCTGGAGCCTTCTCTTCTCCAGGCTGAACCCCCCAACTCTCTCAGCCCCCCCCCCCTCCCAGCAGAGGGGCTCCAGCCCTCCCAACATCTCCGTGGCCTCCTCTGCTTCCGTTCCAACAGGTCCATGCCCTTCTGCTGTTGGTGGCCCCAGAGCTGGATGCAGCACGTGTGTGTGTGTGTCTCCCCAGAGCAGAGCAGAGGGGCAGAATCCCCCTCCTCGCCCTGCTGGGGATGCAGCCCAGGATGCTGTTGGTTTTCTGGGCTGTGGACGTGCCAGCTCAGACCAGCTCATTTACCATGTTTGAAGTTGGATGATGTTAGGGGAAAGATAAGTGGACCATTTTATTAGGATGGTACCTAAACCAGGGGGAAGTGTTGTTGTGAACAGTGTTTATATACCCTGGATTTCAGTGTGGGCTCTCCCTTGTCTGGACACAGCTGGGGTGACCCTTTGGGTTGGATGTGCACAGAGCTTCTCCTCAGAGCCCTCTCGTCTCCTTTCATTGCTCTATTTGGTTGGATGTGTGCAAACACAGAGCTTCTCCTCAGAGCCCTCTCGTCTCCTTTCATTGCTCTATTTGGTTGGATTCTGGGGAGGATACAGTAGATCTAGTGAAGGATTGTGGCAAAGACTTCACTATTTTTGGAGGAATAGTGCAGATCAGCTTGAAGAGGAGGCTGAGGGGAGACCTTCTCGCTCTCTCCAACTCCCTGAAAGGAGGGTGTAGCCAGGGGGGGTCGGTCTCTGCTCCCAAGGAACAGGTGATGCGACAAGAGGAAACAGCCTCAAGTTGCCCCATGGGAAGTTTGGGATGGATATGGGGAAAAATTTCTTCATGGAAGGGGTTATCAAACACTGGAAGAGGCTGCCCGGGGAAGTGGTGGAGTCACCATCCCTGGAGGGATTTAAGAGCTGAGCAGACGTGGTGCTGAGGGACACAGGTCAGTGGTGGGTCTGTCAGTGTTGGGTTGATGGTTGGACTTGGCGATCTGAAACGTCCCTTCCAACCCAGACAATTCTGTGATTCTATAAATAATAGTGAGTGTTCACTACCAAAAATCTCCCTCTTTGCCGTAAGAAAGTATAGCAAATTCCTTTTCAATGTATTGCACACCACATACCAGCCAGGATCCACTCTATATGTGGAAGGTCGAATACAAATCAAAGGCATCTCCTCCGAAACAAAGTGCTGACAGTGGGCTGCTTGTGCTGCTTCCTGATGCAGACAGAGGTTTGTTTTCTCCTGTGCATTAACGCAGTTTTGATGTGTACTTTCTCAGCGTGCTGACAGTGGGCTGCTTGTGGTGCTTCCTGATGCAGACAGAAGTTTGTTTTCTCCTGTGTATTAACGCAGTTTTGATGTGTACTTTCTCAGTAAAGGCTCCTTGACCACCTTGTGCAAGTACAGCTCAAATAGGAAAAACAAACTTTTTGCCACTACACTTATCTGGAGCTGACTGCAGTATCTTAATTCTGATTAGGCCAAAAATCCTTGAACTGCATATTAAACTTTTCAGAACCATGTAGTATAAATTTAAAGTGCAAAAAAAAGGACTATTTATTCAAAACGGGAGGCTTATTTGCAGAAGTTGCTGAGTCTGTGAACTACTTCAAAGTATTATTTTTTGTCTTGCAAGATGCAGAAAGAAATGGCAAATATGTCAACAGCAGAAAAGTTGATCTTTAGGGTTTGAGGTGACAGTAGTTTTTTGCAGATCTAGGTGTTGTCAGTAAGTTTATGGGGTTCAGGTATTGCTTTCTCTAGGTTGCTGAAAATGTGTTAATATCCAAGGAGTACCTTCTAGACTGAATATTGCCCAGCGAGAGCCCCACACTTGACCGATGTGCCTCTAAGATGAGTTTATTTGATTTGTCAGGGGATGTGGTCCTTTGCAAAGAAACAAAGAGGCAACCTTGGAGTCTCTCGAGGTCAGAGCGGGTGGGTGACCAGCCCAGGGCTGGGGTTTGTTGTGTGGGAAGGGACAGACGTGGTGGAAACCTCTTTGGCCAGATGGAGAGCAGATCAAGAGTGTGCGAGTCTCACGTCATTGTCCTTCAGCTCAGCCTGCTGCTACCTGTTGCTGTGGTCATGGAATCATGGAGTGGTCTAGCTTGGAAGAGACCTTTCAGATCATCCAGTCTAACCGTCAACCCAACACTGACAAAACCACCACTAAGCCATGTCCCTCAGCGCCACATCTGCCCAGCTTTGAAATCCCTCCAGGGATGGTGACTCCACCACTGCCCTGGGCGGCCACATTGGTGCACCCCAGTATCAAAGCCTGATACCATGGGCTTATGTTGGTTGGATCTTCAACCGTAACCTACAGATCACTTTCTGTACAGCTGCTTCCCCGTGCGGGGCTTTCACTCCACAGCCTCTTTCAAAGGGGATTATACACCTATTTTCAGGCCTCCTTCACAGTTTTTCAAGACTGCTGTGGATTTTAACTCCATCCTCATGTGTTTTGTCCCTTTGCCAGCTTTGTATTACTAGCAGATTCAATAATTATTCTTCATTCTGTTATGATTGGGCTTTCACTTTTGAACCATAATATGGGAAGTAGGTGTATCTGATTTAATTGCATTTAATGTAACTTTAACTGCATTTTTTCCCCTCAGAGCTTGTCCCAAGTTTATTAAACTGGGTTGTCTGGCCCAGTATTGAATTATGGCAGACTTCACTAAATTTCTTATTTGAGGCACAAAGCTTTTGGCTGTGGATATTTTGAACATGTCCCAAAAAAAGTTCACAAAAATGAAATTTTTTGTCTGCTGCATTACAGATTAAATAATAAAACTTTGGAAGAGGGGATAAAGCAGTTAAATCTTTTTTCTCAGTTTGGTTGCACTTCCACTGTTGAAATCTTCCAGTGGAAAAATATTCCCCCACGCATTCTGTGTTCTCTTCATCCAAATTAGTGAATGCCCGAGGAACGTTCATCTAGTCCTTCCAAAGTCTGTGAAAAATATATTCTTAAAAAATTGAGAACAAAAGTAAATTTCTAGACCTTTTCCTTGCTCATGCAAAGAAACCTGCCACAATGGTTGCAGTTAGCTAGTTCCCTCATAATTTTCGGTCTCTTTCTTACAGAATTTGTTGGAGGGGGAAGCTTTAAAACACTTGCTGTTTCCACTTGAGTTTGCTCCTGGGAGTCATTGTTGGTCCTAAGCTTCATAGGCATCTGCCTGTAAGGAGGCAGGCTCGTTTTTCTCTATTACTTTCTCAATGTCTTTTTCAATATTTGGGGAAAAAAAAGATCTTACTGAAGGGAGTATTTTTAAACATGCTCTAAGGCCAGCTTCTGTCTTCATGTCGTTGCATCAAAACACACTGAGCCACTCTGTGGCTTAATACCCACAGCAATCCTTCCAGAATTTTAAATACAAATATTAGGGTACGGAAATTCCTAATGTTTAAGGTGATTGCATGCGCATACATTACTTAGGGTGATCAGTGGAAAATAAAGATTTACTCAAAATAAGTTTTGAGGATGAAGTCCAAGCATATAAAGTTACTGATTCCCTCCACTCCATTGTATTCCTTGAGGGCCAGCCTTAGATTGATCATAGTACATAATTGTTGGTTTTCCAAAAAACTCCATTGGGCTAAAAAACATTACCTCTTCGAGAGTGGGCTGAATTCAAATTGTTGAATTCATACATACACACCTGCTGTATTTATAGTAAAAGCAGAATGCTGAAACATGTCATCACTGGTAGTTAATTTTGCAGAACGTAGATCAATGTCAGTGTCATTTGGGCCCCTGTGATCTTCTTAGATTGGTGGTTAACCTTCATAATCATTAAAAGGTAATAGCTGCATATATAATCTGAGATTATGCGTTTAGTAATTTACCCCGTTTATTTCCATTCTTATATAAAATGCACAGATTGCTCTTTTAAGCACGCTAGTACTTTAGGCTGAAGAATGTGGTGTTCAGGTGACCTGACTTTCTCCTTCGTGTCCAGCACTGTCCCAGGCTGTTGGAAAACTCTGCCAGAAGTGAGGATTAAAATATAAATGGTGATGGAGTTGTTCTGTAGCAGCACTTTGTGCAAGTGACACTGACATCGATGAGGATTGGCCACTCTCACAAGCAAAGCACTGAGAGAAAGATTGCTAAGAGATTGTTGAATATTGCTTTTAAATATATTTCTGTGTCAGTTGTATTTAATATTCCATTAAAAATTCAAGCAGATTGCAGAAGAACAGCTTTTTAGGCTTTGTGCGAGCTGATTTAACCTTCAGAATAAAGTAGCTGGATGGCTACTTTATGTTTTTGTGCTTCAGTATTGTTTTGTGCTTCAGTATTGTTTTGTGCTTCAGTATTGTTTTGTGAAGCAGCACATTGAAAAATGTGCATATGCCAGTAAACATTTAAATGATTTCTCATATTTACATTTTTAAGCTCCCGCAGAATGTGGCACATTCTGTACCAAATGCTTAGTCTGGCCAAGGAAATCAGGTTTTGTTACAGCTGACTAAACTTAGAAAAAAACCTATTTACATTTTATATTTATGCAAATAATTGCAGCTAGAGCTGAGTAAGAGAAAAAGGCTTTTAGGACCTGTTGGAGTCAAAATTAATCTTTTATAGTTTAAGAAGTTTTACTCTTGCAATTTGGGTGTTGCTGGGGTTTATTTTTCCCTTCTTATGTGCTTTGTGAGGAGCGCATTAAGTCACAAAGTCAGGGTGGTGTCTGATGTGGTCTGTGCGAGTTGCTCCCCTCTGTTTTGTTAGGGAGCTTCCTCCACTTGATTGCATTTAAAATTATGCACGTGCGTATTAATTCCTGCGGGTGGGAAGGGATGACTCGCTGCTTGAATGCTTTGCTGAGTTAAAGGCTGACCGACTGTAGCTTCTCCAGTGCCCGTTACCACTGCTTTCAGAGGGAAAATTGTGCCAAAGCAGCTCTTTAAGTGACATGACTGAAATCAGACCCAAAGCTTTCAAAATGCAGTTCCTTGTTTAAAATTATGCTCTGGTTAATGACAAGCGAAGGAGTGAAGATTGAAGTTTTTACATAAACTTTTTTTTTTTTTTTTTCCTTTTAGCTTATTAAAATTCCCAAAGTTGATGTGCCAAATGAAATGCATAGATTTGACTTCTATGTGTCAAATGTTGGCAAAGATAATCCTCAGGGAAGCTTTGACTGTGTCCAGCAAACGAACTCCAGGTAAGTTTTACTTAACATTTTCTTTCATGGCAAATTTTAAGTAGATTCTGTGGCTTTGGGCATGTAGCAAAAACCTGTAGCAGAAGCATGCTTCCAGCGATGAGCTGCAGTGGAAAATTAATTCCTAGCAATAGCCTGGTTCCTTGCTAATTATAAATACTTGCTTTTACATAGAAGTCTTTCTGGTTTTGCTCTTAAAAAAGTAACCTTTTTGAGTACTTTCTCACCTCTTAGTGCTATTTTTAAAAGCATTTGGATCTAGACCAGATCCATTCTACAACCATATGTAAATATGATTATGGCTGGCAGCGTGCTGGCCCTGACGGTCAGTTGTCTTATTTTAAGAACCACATAAATCGGTGGCCTTATCCATAATTGCACGACCATGGTGTTTCAGAACCCAAAACGTAATACAGCAGCGCCTTGTCCTGGTCCTTTGAGTCAAAGTGAACCACTGTTAACATCTACCCAAAAGGCAAGAAAATACCCTGCTTTTACATTAAGTTGGCTTCAGCTTCTAGAATATTGCCCTCAGCATGGTTTTGATGTCATCCAGCAGTGTTGAATAACTGTGTGTCCCATTTGATTAACTAGGACATGGCAGGCAGAGCTTGTGTATTGGTGGGGGAAGCTGATAACAAACAGAGACATCAACACCTCTCCAAAAGGTGCTGCTCAGGTTCCCCGGTCACAGGAAAGCTTCTGCGCTCAATTTTCAGAACAGAGATGTGTCGAGATAGCAATAAAGAGCAATAAAGAAATGAGGTGATTTAATAGCTTTCTGCCTAACAGGAGATCCCTTGGCATCCTCCTCCTCTTGCTCCCCTTGCATTAGGTCTCTTCTACGACAATGCAACCTTTCAGTCAACTCACTTAACGGGTGGAATTGGCGAAAAACCAAATGGCTTAGACCTGGGAGAGCATGGGGCAGCGTGGGGCTTTTTTGTTTGGTTTTTGTTTGGCGGGGGGGAGGGGGATTAAACTATGTGTAAAAGGGGTTGGACAGCTGCTGAGGTTGGCACAAAGCAAGGTGAGAGGTCCTGCCTCCCCTCCTGAGAGCATGGAGCAGTGTGGGGCTTTTTTGTTTGGTTGTTTGTTGTTTTTTTTTTTGAGAGGGGTGGGAATTGAACTATATGTAAAAGGGGTTGGACAGCTGCCGAGGCTGGCAGAAAGCAAGGTGAGAGGTCCTGCCTCCCCTCCTGGCTTGGTTCTCCTGAGCATCTCTGAGGGCACCTTCTTCTTTGGGAAAGAGCATCTTGAACTCAATCAAACTGTATTTTTTAAGTTAGATTAAATTTAAGCTGCTCTAGCTCTGAATAATTCTGAATAGCACGCCTCGGTAGTTTTAATGTAGCTTAACTAATCTACTTCAACATCTCATTCAGAGCAGCTTTCGCGAGGTCCCCTGTAGCCAGCTCTCACTTTGTGCAAAGTGCCTGCAAAGTTAATAAAAATTTGTCTAGTGTTACACTCAGAGGTGTTTTAAAAAAAAACAAAACAGCAACAAAAAAAAAACACACACAAAGGAGCCCTGTAGGGTATCTAGTCTAATTTTGTGCTCAAGGCAGGTCTAGCTTCAAAACTGGCTTGGATTTTGAAAATGCCCAGCCTGAGGAAGGAGTGTCTCAGTCAGTGCTTGGCTGAGTCTGTGCTGGAAAAGCACATAAAGGCACAGAAATGGGCAATGGGTAAAAGCTATGGTTTAGCTGTCCAGAAGGACCTTTTTATCTGCTGTAGACATGCTGATTTCAGAGCAAGGAATACATAGATAGCTCTGGGCCGTGGACAAAACATTAGCAGTGTTATCTTGAAATACTGTCCCGTGGCTTGGTCCAGCTTTGTGACTTTCAGAAATGACGTGGTGCATTGAGACGCGAGATTCTTGACCTTTCCTGGAGCCTTGATGGGGAGTTTTAGGGTGATCAAAGTGTTTCGGGTGAGGTAAAGGCAGTGTCCTTCCTCTGGTCAGAGCTGTTGCAATGGCGGGTGCCACACAGTATACTCATTAAGAGAGGTGATAGTGATACAGTTTAAATGAAGCCGGTGTTAGTCAGCCGAGGTGCTTTCCTGACTGGGCACCATGTGCTGCCAGAGCTTCTTTGGGCCAACCATGGTGGGCTGGGCTCCTTCACAAACACCACCTGAAGCCCGGAGCTGCCCTGACACCATGGAGGAGCTATGGACACTATGGACCTCACTGTCCATCCTTCCCCTCATGCGGGCTTTGCTCAAAGTGCCTTTTCTTGGATGTGAATCCTCAGAGGAGCCGGGGGATGGACCACAGGCACCCCTCAGTGCTGGCCTACGCACAGAGCATGCAGGGAGGGGACGGACATTTTGAAAACAAGACAAGGGGAGACTTGCCTGCCCTATGGATTGATCGAATCATTTTGGTTGGAAGAGACCTTTAAGATCATCAAGTCCAACCGATAAACCAGCGCTGCCAAGTTACCACCAACCCGTGTCCCTCGGCACCACATCTACACATTTTTTAAATCCCTTCAGGGATGGCTACTCCACCACTGCCCTGGGCAGCCTCTTTCAAGGCTTCACAACCCTTTCTGTGAAGAAATTTTCCCCAATCTCCATCCTAAACCTCCCCTGGGACAACTTGAGGCCGTTTCCTCTTGTCCCATCACCTGTTCCTTGGGAGAAGAGACCGACCCCCCCGGCTACACCCTTCTTTCAGGCCACGGAGATGCTGGGAGGGCTGGAGCCCCTCTGCTGGGAGGGGGGGCTGAGAGAGTTGGGGGGGTTCAGCCTGGAGAAGAGAAGGCTCTGGAGAGACCTCAGAGCCCCTTCCAGTCCCTCAAGGGGCTCCAGGAAAGCTGGGGAGGGACTCTGGATGAGGGAGGGGAGCCCTAGGAGGAGGGGGAAGGGTTTGACCCTGCAAGAGGGGAGATGGAGCTGAGCTGTGGGGAAGAACTTGTTTGGTGTGAGGGTGGTGAGAGCCTGGCCCAGGTTGCCCCGAGAAGCTGTGGCTGCCCCATCCCTGGAGGGGTTGAAGGGCAGGTTGGAGGGGGCTTGGAGCAGCCTGGTATGGTGGGAGGTGTCCCTGCCAAGGGCAGGGGAGGTAGGACAAGATGATCTTTAAGGTCCCTTCCAACCCAAACTATTCTATGATTCTAGGATTGCAGCAGTTATCAGTGCAGCCACCAACACTGCCCTGACCTTGTCTCTCAAACACAGTTATGTGAGGAAATATAATTACACTAACAAGTGAATCTGATGGAATTTGGATGTTTGGAGACAACTTGAAATGTATTTATGCCCTAGCTAGCTGTCAGAACTGGAGAACGTTTTTTTTTCACCTGTTAAGACAGATCGTAGAGTTCCTTACGTAGAGAACCGTACTTCTAAACCCGAACTAGTGCTTGGGCTCAACCTTTTTCAATGTTTTTATAGTTCCGGAGCCTCACAACTCAGTTGCCTGGGATCTATACAGAATAAAATTACGGTATGTGCAACAAGCGATTCCTATGCGACGACCCGAGAGCGCTTGACCCAGGCAGAAGAGGAGTCGCGCAATCGAAGTGCAAAGGTTATTAAACCTGGTGGACCATTTTTAGGTATGGTTGTATTTCATTTTCTACTAAGTTTTCAAACTCAGTAATGAATCTTTTAGCATATTCTCAGGAAAGGTGGTGTGTTCAGAGATCTCAGGTGTAGGTAGGTGGCTCACCCTCACGTTAGATTTGCAGTCTCCTGTTGCTGAATTCAGATTTTAGCCTCTTTTTTTGTCCGCTAGAAAGCCAGCCAATCCATCCATATTCCATATTCCTTGACTGGTTGAAATTTTGACCATTGTGCTGAGGGCTTTTACCACCCCATGGACTTAAATTCTCTGGTTTAGTAGCTAATGTTTTGGTTTTGTAACAGCCCCTTTGAATACTGTGCTAAACCATTAACCTTAATGTGTAATCTGTAAACATTAACATTGAGGAAGTCTGATGTACAAATTATAAGTCTAATATGAAGTGCTTTGCTTTTCACACTGGCTAATGCTAATGAAATTGTATTTATTTTATGTTTTGGTCATTAATACGCAACTGGTATGACAATACCATGGGTTTTGTGTTGGTTTTTTTTTTAAAGTTAAAGTAAGGTAATGTTGGCATCTTCCCATGGATTTCATCACTTTCCTCAAAACAAAAAGCATTTAAGTGGTGTCATTCATTATTAAACTGTTCTGAGTACTGTCTTCCCGAGGAGCCTGGTACTGGCTGCAGATAGAGGCAAGGTGAGCATCCACCTCCTGCCCACAGCAGCCAGCTGGACCAGGTCCATCCATCTTCAGCAAGTGACATGGTCTCTTCTGTGGCCCTGGCTGTGGTCCTCCTCCAGCATGGACATCTCTCTTGGTGGTGGTGAAACGCTTGCTCTGCCACAACTTACTGTAGAGCATTTTAAGCATCATCACAGCTTTTTGGAGATAGAAAACTACGTGTATGTGGCCTTGACACGAGGGTAGCTGGGCACGGACACGGACTTGGGTCTACTTCCCCTGTGTTGTCTAAACTGCTCTTCAAGAGCATCGTGAGAGGAGCCACTTTCATCTATTTCCAGACTTCTCATTGGGGAAGTTGTGTTTTCCACAGGAGTGATCTGTGTGATTCCTTGTTAGTCGTTTAACACTAAATATAAATGGGGTCTGAAGAGTGGCAGTGGGACTATTACGGTGGTTGGGGATACTCTTGTTTTCCAGACTGACATTGACAAAGCTCAGTAGGACAGGTCTAGTTGCTGGTAGGGCACTGGGGTAATTTTTGCAACATGCTTCATGCAGTACAAATTAGGAACTGGGGTTGTTAGTCATGTTAATGCTGGGTTATTTTTTCAGGTTTGTTTTTTTTTTTTTTCCCCAAGTGATTCAGAGACATGACTTCAGGAGGCGTTCGGTTTGCTGCTTACGCTCTCCGCTGTGCCAGGGGGCTGTTTGTGTACCTGCACTGAATTTAACTCGTTAAAACGTTTGTCACTCGTTCGGTAAACAACGGGCAGGTTCACACTGTTCCAGAAGTGTAACTGCGTGTGTGTTTGCACGGCTGGGTTTGCTCTTGAAAACCAGAAGAGCAAAGTCCGGGGAACGCGCAGGGAGGAAAGGTCACAAGGGTTTGGCCTCCGCTGCAAAACGGGGAGCAAGTTCCTGCTGTTCCCCAGAACGAGCAGTCCGAAAGCACAGCTCAGGCTCTGTGCATCTGATACAAGACAGCAAATTCCAGATTTTCTTGCCCATACACAGTAAATCTCCCTCATACCAAAAAAAAAGTTACTGGCTTCAGAAATTGCCCAGATTGTGCCACATCCATCCTCTGCGGGATTGCAGATGACGTTGACTGCAATGATTTTCTGCAATGTCCTGCTAAATCCTTTTTTCTTCCTGTCCGATTGCAAATGCTGTTTCAAAACACAGAGTAGATGAGTTTGTTTTGTTTTGTTTTTTCCTGTAAAACTGGGATTCATGTTGGGTGGTGTTATTTTTAAATTCTGGATGCATCACTTGCATTGTTCCTCCAGTTTAGAAATATGTCTTTTTTATAAAGCTTTATCCAAAATGCTGTGTGGGCCATGCTTCAAAACTTCTCTGGCCTTGGTCCCAAGAACGGCTAAATTTTTGTTGTGCTGTTTCTGAGCAAACCTGGGCTTATTTAATAAGAGGGCAACATTTCAGATTAAAATGTGGTGTAAATTATGGTAATTCAGGTGAGCAACCTGGTCTGGTGGAAGATGTCCCTGCCCAGGGCAGGGGAGTGGAACTGGATGGTCTTGAAGGTCCTTTCCAACCCAAACCATTCCATTAAGTGATTAACACCAAGGGTTGGTAGTTCCATTAAGCAGTGATGTAATTAGTTGTGTAGACTTGGTCTCCCTAGGGATTAAGGGGGAATCATTTAGCTATGGGGATGACCTTTACACCACACTTTAGAGCAGTCTTCAAAAAAAAATTGCCTGATTTTGGGTGTTCAGTGCTTGAGCTTATTAACTAGAAAAACAATAAAAGCACTATTTAGGTAAGTAATTGGTGAAGTCTTCCTACTCATATCACTCATCTACCAGTGTTTTTTAATACTGAATATGTCTTTGTTAATGCCTAGCTCGATACATCTTTACTACCCGTATATTCTTGCAGATCTTGAAATGCTAATTAAGTACAGGTTTATTTGGCTTAGTAAATTTTTTTAAATCGACTTTCTTGCTTTCACCCAACCTCCCATGTCACACTTTTTTTTCCAATTTTTTTGTTTATTCTCCCCCCCTACATTTCCTGCAGGTAAAAGAGTCCAGGTCAGAAGACCCCCCCAAAGCATTCCGGATGCGGTGCCCGAGAGGAAGAGGTCGACCCCCATGAACCCTGCCAACATCCTGCGGCGGGCGCAGGGGCACAGCGCTGTGTCGCAGCGGCCCTACAGGGACAGGGTGATTCACCTGCTGGCGCTGAAGAGCTACAAGAAACCCGAGCTACTTGCCCGCCTGCAGAGAGATGGTGTCAACCAAAAGGACAAGAACTCCCTCGGGGCTATCCTTCAGCAGGTGAGATCACTCTGGGGTTTGTGCCGACGTTTTTTGGTTTTTTTTCCCCCCTCCTGTTCTTCTTTTAATCATAATTTTGAGGTGCGTGTTTCAATGAACGTTATGCTCCTTAAGTTTCTCCATCAACTTTATACAGATGCCCCGAACTGCAAGTCAAGAGGAGGCAAGGAAATAAATAGTAAAAAAATTTTTGGGATTGTTTTTGTTTTACTACAATGGCAGGCAATAATTGACTATTTCTAGCTCTGTTGCTCCTAATGTCTTTTCATTTTTTTTCTCTCTCTTTTACTTGGACGGCTTAACTGCTTAATTGAGAGAAACTGGCCACGCATTCTCTGGATTGTGTGAAATCATTTGTCACGGTACTTAATATGTCTTGTGAGGAGTTTATGAGAAGTTTGGTTGTCCCATAGGTTAGCATTTCATGTGAACATAATTGGTGGCCTGTAAATGGTACCCGGCTTCTCTTGGGATCTGTCAGAATTACAGTCCAGGGAAGGGTGTTCCAGCCAAATCATGAAGGAAAATGGTCCGATTTTGAGCATACTGTTTCTTCACTCTCATGTGGATTGTGTCATCATCTTACCTAAACCTTTTTTTATTCAGTAGCTTTTCCGTGCACCTTTGAGTTAAGTTCCGTGATGTATATGACATTTCTTTATCTTATCCATCAAAATTATTGGTAAGCCTGTAATGTTATGGGTGAAACTTTCAAGCTGTGTGTTCAAGAGCATCATGTCAATTTTCTACTAAAACAGTTCAGAAAAAGCTTCTTAATGTATCACAAGATGCAGTGGCTAGTCTCTTACTTTTTAGATACTCTCTGTACCTGTAGGCTGTGGCTGAATTATGCACGTATTAATATGTAAAGTAGGAATATTTCCTATTTATCGAGGAAAAAGGGGGTTTGGAACCTATTAAAGTGAGTAAAATTCAGCATTTAGAAAGCTTTGGTTGACCCTACACCAAATTTTAGAAACTCATTTCTTGAATATGTGAAGTGTTGTTGCTTTGTTTGCCCAGTGCACTGATGGGCAAAGAACCTGAAGAAACACACATTTTAGCAAGAGCTTTGTTCTTACATACAAATTGAAGTAGTCGATTTATACTTCAAGTTGACATAAAGCTCCAAAGACTCAGCTCTGTAGCGGATAAAAGGTGCAAAAACTTCCTCCTCGTCTCCCCTTATGCTTGCCAATGTTTAAGGAGACTTTCTTGGTGTGAACTGCCTCAGGGTAGTGGTTTGGATTCAGAAATGGTCACATTGGCAGGACTGCACCTTGAAAACACTTGCTCCCATTTTTCTTAGCTTCATAATAATGTTTTTTTTTGTGCAAATCTAAAATCAGCCGCCTGGACTTGCTAAGATCTAATGTGCACAGATTTGCTTTACTTGGAGTACAGCTTTTCATTCTGTTTTTAACAAGTGAATTGCCGTTTCTGGGTATATTTGTTACTTTCAAATTTTTTCAAGCTGTGGACAGACAGACACGCACACAGACGTGAGCTAGTGGTATTTATCTATCATGTTTTGGAGGAAAAAAAATAAGCAAAACTGCAAGAAGTGGTGGAGATGTGGAGATGAGTTATTCAGTAATTTGTGTCAGGCAAATTGATGGGAAATTGCTTTTATTTGAGGTTTCCTCTGAACTGACGCCAGGTGATGAGGTTCAAACCAGCACTTGAGCTCTCTCGAGGTTGTACTAACTCATTTTAACTTTGAAAATATACTTTGTGTTTTTCTTAAGGAAGATATAAACCCATTTTACTTCTGAAGGTGTGCAGCAAGGCACGCACCCCACCTTCTCACAACAACGGTCTGCTGTAATGAGCCCCGTGTCTGCAAAATCAGGAGTGCATCTGGGCCTCTCCTTAACCATTTTAGCCTAAGTCTTTTTTCAAAATATAACTTGTTAGAGTACAGTTACTTTAACCCCCAGTCGGTGAATATTTGATACGGCTTAAAACAAATGGGACAGATGAATAATTCGTCTTTGTACTAAAATAAGTAGTTTTGTGCCCGTTAGCTTATGGCATATGACTGTTCAGTAGAAAGCTGTAGCTTCTTGGTTGTGAAAGAAAAGCCATTCTTTTTGTCGAGACAAATGATGACATAATGTGGTTGTTAATGTGATGATGGAAAACACGCACCGTCTGTGCGCTGCCATCACAGTACAGCTGTGCCAAACCAAAGCACAGCAGGTATTGAACAAATCTGAATTTGAATGTTCAGATACTGTTCTTCAGTTCTTAAAAAAGAAAAATAATTTTAAAAAAAACAACAACAACAAAAAAACCCCCCACAAAACACTCTCAATGTATTTTATGCAGTTTTGGCATAATTTGCCATGAATCTCAGTGCTGTATTAAAGGTGAGAAACCAGGTACCTTGTGTAGAGAGAGGTTTTCACAGAGTACATTTCACACTTGCTTGCAGCAGTTTGGGATTTCCTTACACGCCAATTTCTGCATCCCAAATTGACCACATTTTTTAAAAATTGGTGCTCGTTACATGAGAGCTGCTTTCATCTTCACATCTAAAAAAAACCTGGAAAAGTGGCGTGTGATTTTGTTTGCAGCTTGGATTTAGCTTTGCAGTACCAATCTTATTTCTGTAGTTTGCATTTAGGTATAATGAACATTTATTTTCTTGAATGTCTGCCTGTAGGTAGCCAACCTGAGTCCAAAGGACAATTCTTACACTCTGAAGGATTATGTATTTAAAGAAATTCAGAAAGAGTGGCCTGGATACAGTGAAATAGATAAACAGTCATTGGAGTTAATACTTTCTAGGTAAGTTCAGTCTCTAGGGGAAGGAAAACAGCTGTTTAAAAAACTTTTTTTCTGGGAAATGAATGTCTGCCTTCCCTATAATGAAAGAACTATGTTATAGACATTTCTGTGTTCTAACCTGAAGTGTTGGGTCATCCTTACAGAAAATTAAACACACTTCAGAACGCCACCAACACCAGCCATTTGGAATCTCCTGAAACTTCTAAAAAAGATGCTCCATCAAATTCTCAGGTATGTCATGTTTGGTTTTTTAATGCTATTTGCAGTGTATTAGGATTTATCACATTTTATATTGATGTAAAAGCTGTGATGTGAAGCACTCAGTGTCTTTAATACATGAAAAAACAAAGCATTAATTTCTGTTTTATTTATTACATTTTTTTTAGAGGATGGTTGCACTGTCAAGACTGCAAAAATCTTCCAGTCACATAGCTTAAGGGCTGCTATATTTAGTGTTCTGTGTTTCAGAATGTTTATTAAAATAGTCAGAAAAACAAACAATTCCTGTCAGTTTGGTGTTTTGTAAATAACACCTAGATCTCTGACAGAGACCGCCCTTGTGGTGGTCAAACAGCCACCGTGGTGGCCTGAACTGGGCCTGTCCATCGTGGCATAAACTTGCCTGTAACTGCTTGGTTGCCCGTTATTGTTACACAACCCTGGACTTTCTGGTTAGGTCCTTAAAACTGTTTTGTATTGCTATGTAACTTGTTTATCTTGGGGTGTAGAAAGGTCTTCTCAAGACCAGATATGTGTATATTTTTGTTATGGGGAACCTTGTATGTGTCCAAGGTTCTTTGTGATGTGTTAGTTATATCAGTAGTTATTGGTAGTTATAGTACAATATGCACGAACACGCTGTGCTACTGTTTAAGTATAAAGCTTAGGAAAGTCTAGGATAAGGACAGATTGCAGTAGTGATCCACTTGGAGGAATACCTTTTTTTTTTCCCCTATAGGTGTCATTTTAGCACCTATAGGGAAAACATTATTTTTCAATTCAGGGTAGCCCAGGTGTGAAAAGGCAGATTTGAGTCAGCACGTCAGGCTTAAAATGCGTATGTCCTGTGGTCTTATCAACACACAAGGACCATGCAAACCTTTTTAGAAGAAGCTTGGAAAACTCGGCATAAAGGGCATTACTTCAAGGAAAAGTTTGATACTTTCTGGGGCTAAAGTAAATTTAAATTTCAAAGTAAATTTCTGTCTCAGTAAATGCAGTTGTACTCTGAAGAACACGAGAGCTTGTGGGTGTGCAGCTATAAGCTGGGAAGCAGGGAAGTCTTTTTCACCAGAGATATTTGCGTTAAAATAGAGGAGGGAGGGTGGTGTTGGACCTAGATGATCTTTAAGGTCCCTTCCAACCCAAACCATTCTATGATTCTATGATTAGAAACTAAGCATGAAATAAGCTATGTATTTACCTGCAGTACCTCCTTGTTTGACAGCTATTTTTAGAAAAGAAGGATGTGTTTCCAACAATTGCCTGTTCACACTTTTTCAGAGTGCAAGCAAAACTTAATTCTGCTGATTTTCAAATATGGTTGGTTTTTTATTTATTTTTATTTTCATAGAATGGTTTAGGATGGATTGGACCTTAAAGCCCATGCAGGGCTATTGTATTCACAGCTCTGGGCTGAGGGATTACTGAACTAGCACTGTCCCAGCAGGACCACAGCCCACAGTTTTTGCACTCGAAATACAAAAAAAAAATAATTAATTCTCCTTTTTCTTTATTTTTTTAAAATGGGAGTATGGTAGATTATTTTGCAGATATGCTGCTATCTCTCCCATGAAGTAAGCTCTGTTTAGAAAATAAATCATAGAATCACAGGATGGTTTGGGTTGGAAGGGACCTTAAAGCCCCCCAACCAAGTGCTACCCCCTGCCCTGGGCAGGGACACCTCCCACCACACCAGGCTGCTCCAAGCCCCCTCCAACCTGCCCTTGAACCCCTCCAGGGATGGGGCAGCCACAGCTTCTCGGGGCAACCTGGGCCAGGCTCTCACCACCCTCACACCAAACAAGTTCTTCCCCACAGCTCAGCTCCATCTCCCCTCTGTCAGGGTCAAACCCTTCCCCCTCCTCCTTTTGCCGTCGTTTTTTTTTTTTAATCATGATATTTATTTATTATGAATAATATTTATTTATTCTATTTTATATTTTTTCATTACAGAAGCGGCCTTTGAGTTCCGATTTCACCGATCCTCTGCTGAGCAAAAAGCAAAGGATATCCCACCTGGCCAGCCGGGTCCCGCTGCCCTTCGGCGGCCATTTGCCGCCTCAGGGGGACAAAGCGGCGGCT